CCCCTGCCGATCGCTGCCTGATGCTCGGCAGGGCTCACGACAGCACCGCAGCCAGACAGCACAGAGGTCACCCCGGCCAGCAGGCACAAAGCATCAGCACAGAGAGGGGCTTGGGACATGCAGCGGAGCCAGAGACATGCCCCCAGGGCTGTGGGGGTCTGGCGAGGGCTGCTGCCCCCTCCTCTCCTGGGGCAGCGTGGCCTGTGCCCTTGCCTGGTCAGAGCAGATGGCTGCTGCTGCGGTGGGGTGGCCCCGCAGCAGGAACCTACCTCTGGGCACCGAGTCAGGCCCCAACCAGGCTCCCTGAATATGAATGGCATCTTCCTGCTCAAGAATGAGCAAAGAAACGAGAACCAGAACTCCCGAGGGGTCTCTTGGAGCAAAGCCTGGGGACGGCTCCTGCCCATGGACAGACAGGTCTTGGCATACGTCTGCAGATGTCAGAATGTGCTTTGCAGCCAAAGCAGCTCCCCGGTACCAGCTACCATGGAGTGGCAGAGCACAGCAGGTCCCAGGCTGCCCTGGCAACTTGCGCATCCAAAATGTGGAAAACTCTGAAGAATACGGCAATGCCTTTCTGCTTCCCAGCACTGTGCCTGGGATAGAAGCCCCTTCTCCATCTTCAGGCTTGGAAAAAGGAAAAACAGAAAACTCACTGGGGCCCGCAGGGCCAGATCCACGGTCACGCACAGGACCTGCAGAGCCCGTGAGCTGAGGTAACGTGCAAACATGATGGAGGGCAGCAGGGTGCCCAGGGCAGCTTCCTACCCCCGGCAGAACACCTGCAGGGAAGCAAAGCCTGCCCTTTGTTGCTATTATTTTGTTTTCTTTCCTCAAGAGGAGTTTATTCAGACCTCCTTTCAGCAGCAGGACCCAGGTTTGTTCTTTTATTTCTTAACTGGAGAAGAGAAGACAAGACAAACAGAACTTCTGCTGGAAGCATCTGTGCCAGGCTCCGCCACTCTCATCACGCAGAGGGAAGATAAACTAAGAAAACTTGCAGAGCCACGAAGCTGTTCCCTCCTGGCTCTCCCAGCCGGGTGTGAGCAGATTTTGCAGTCACTGTAAATACAGGCTAAAGGATAGCACAGCCATAAGGGAAGGAAAAGACCATCACCAGGCCTCTCATGGGAGGGTCAGAAAGGAGCTAATTTCAGAAGAGGACAAAAGAGCTTCACCTCATCCTCTGCCTGAGACTCTTCCTGGTGGGCTGCAGAGTGAGGCCATGCACAGCAGCCAGAGCCAAGGGAGCCTGGTGGTACCAACCCTGGCAGCGCCACTGCTCCCCGTCCCCAGCACACAGGCTCAGGGACACTCTGCCCCCACAGCCCCTTCCCACTGCTGCAGTGCCGGGACCTCCCATTCACTCCTTGCTGTGCCTTGCCAAACCTAGAGCCACACCAAGGGCAGACAAGACCAAGGAGGAAGGGCATGGGGGGCATCCAGAGCCACAAACCCAGTGTGCAGGTACAGCCTGCAAATCCCAACCACCATGAGCCCCCAGCAGAAGTAAGTGCTGGCAGCTGTCCGTGCCATAGTGCTCCAGTTGATGGGGCATCTACCCACAGAACATGGCTGAGCCAGGGGAATACAGGTGATGCGAACACAGATCCCCTGGGAGTCCCCAGAGCCGCTCAGCAGGTGCGAATGCAGGGAGCGAGCTGCACAGTGATGACTGGCAGGGCTGGTGCATAGATAACACAAATTTGATTACTGTTCATCAAATATACTATTCGACCATGCTCCCTTATTAATGCTTGAGTCAGGAAGAGTATTTTTAGGTTGTCTAGGGAGATGTCAGACTTAGTGCTGCTGCTTTTTTTTTTTTTTTTTTACTTCAGTGTTAGTTAACACTTACATCTTGGTCACCTCTGCAGTGAACACATCCGTATTTCCCCCTCTGCCCCACCCTGGTCCAGCACAGACTGTCTGCTCCACACAGTACTCCTCCATCTCACCTGCTTCCATCGCCAGGACAGTGATGTTGTGCCACCCTGCTGTCTCCCGGTCCAGGACCTTTCCTGTCACAATGGCACCTGTGTTGGCATCGATGTCAAAGATCCTCTCTGCATCTGTGCTGCGGTCGATGGCGTACCTGAGACCAGGCAAAAGGGGAAACTGTGAACAGCTGGATGTGCCAAGCCCAACCTTGCCATCAGCCTCAGGAGTATGGGGATCTAACGCAACAGGCTCTACATCACCACTCTCACTTTTCCTCTGCTGCAGCATGGTACACAAAGGCCATGTTTCTACCAGGCTCCAAGCCCAGAGCCCTCGAGTAAAATTAAATTGTGGCTTTCAGTGCATAAAGTGGAACTAAGCACAGACTGTGGACAAGGGGAAAAACCTGCTCTGATGGGAACCTTATGCTCAGGATAGACAGAGCAATACAGAAATCATGCGCTGTAACTCCACTTCTTACTCTGGGAAGCTTCTCAGCTATAGGTTCAGGAAAAACATCAACCCAAACCGAAGGAGGGCACCCCTGCTCGAGGAGTCTACCTCACTTCCCACCCTCCCTCCTGATCCTGCCACAGCACCCACCCAAGTGAGAGACCTGGGGGACAGCATAGCAGCACACGGGCAGCCTGCGAGCCAGACCCGCGGACAACCTGAGCTGCAGCTACAGCAGTTACAAATGGCAATGCCTCCTCTGAACCCAGACTGAAGCTGTGCAACTGGAGCAAGAACTCTGGCAGCAGAGAGGTGGACAACAGGCAGCATCCCTACAATCAACACAGCACATCATCCCCAGCAGCCCCTAGATTTGCCCTAGTTGGGGCTTCCCAGTTTCACACGAGCAGGCTGAAGACCTCCTACAGCTCTGACTGGCTCCAGCTGCTCAGAAGAGACCTTTCACACGCGGCTCTCGTTCTTCTCCTTCAGCTGGTCCAGCGCTGCCCCAAACAGCCCCCTCCCTGGGCACCCCACCAACAGCCCACCCGCTCCCTGTGCCGCCTCCAGAGAGCACAACTCCCACTCCTTCCCGAAGGACAGCACTACACCTCACGAGAAGAGTCAGACCTGCCCCTTAGCCATGAGGCAATGAGTCCCAGTGGCATGTCCTGCATTTCCGACCATTACACATGGAATAAAGCAAGCTAACATTAAATCAGGGCACAATTAGATGTGCACTCCTTGGGGAAGGGACTGGAAGAGAAGCCCAATCCAGTGAAGGCCCTCGAGCACAGCCGTAACACAAATAAAACACCACCACTGCAATCAGAATTAGAAATCCAGAAGGCCTACAAATCACAAACAATACAGCATAATATTATTGGGTACAGCATCTTTCATACACACTACATCCCAGACTGCTTTACAGAATTAAATAATACAAGACAGCAAGGAGTACAAAGGATAAATTACCAAAAAGAGGGCTGTGAATAAATTAAAGCCTTCAGTCACAAGTCCAACAACAGAAGGAAGATAAAATGTAGGGACAAAGCAAGCTGGAAAGCTGACAAGACAGGACAGTACTGAGAGGCCACGTCAGACAAGAGGAGCAGAGAAGGACAGGCTGTAGGCTAGCAGCACGTTCAGGACAGTGCCAGCGCTCCGCATGTTGCAGGGCAGCTTTCCCAAGTGCTTGGGTCTCGCCTGGCACAGTCCAGCCGTGGTCTGTGGGTCCATCATCCACATGGCTCACAGCTGAGGAACACCAGCTCACCTTCTGCATGCAAGGACAACCACTCTACACAGAGGCATTGATGGCCTCCATGCCTTTCTGTCCTGTGCCTGGCGGGGGGGGAACCAGCTGCATATGAGAGTGTCTCCTGAGGGGCACCTATCCACACAGCCAGGCAGCTCTGTCTCTGATGGAGGCACACACCAAGGCATTTCTACCCTGTTTAAAGTGTTACACAGTACCAGATTACATTCCCTAGCTCTCTCCCTTTCAGACATACGGGGGGACGAGAGAGAAAACACAACACTGCTTGCATGTAGTTAAGAAAAAATGTTAAAAAAAATCAGTATCTAAATTCATCTGTGCACATGCACAGTCTAGCATGTTCTGTACCTATGTGGCTGGCTTCTTCCCTTATCCTTGCATCTGGAGGCAATGGGGATCTGCCACACAAAGCCAGGTACAAGCCCAGGCATCTCTGAACCAACTGCCAGGGACTCCCTAGCCGTCCTGCATTTACTGCCCCAATTCCCAGCTGGAAACAGAGCCTCTACAGCCACGTAGGCAGCTCCAGAAGGGACAGTGACACTGTCTTGGCACCTACTGCACCCTCTCATCCACTCTGTGCTCGCTCACTGCAAAGGGAAAGGAGAGGTCTGACCACTTTGACTTCCTCAAACACATCCTGTCTTCCATTCCACTTTTTAATACTGTTAGAGTTCAAGATGGTAATTCACTCTCCATGCCCCTTCCCTGCTTCTCAGGTAAGCACATGGCTGCTTTGTTCACACTCATGTCATTGCTGCATAAACAGAGGCATCTAAAAAAATAGCTACAAAGAAAAACCCAGTTAGAGATGGAAGACATTACTGAGCCTGGAAACATCGGACACCAGCTGCCTGCGTGGCCAGAGGAGAGGGCCGAAGGCTGGTAGGGGAGTGCTCTGTGTCATGCCACTGGTAACCTTTTCTTATGCTTCTAATTGTTTTGCTGCTAAGGTTGTTTTCTGTCATTTCCAAATTGTCTGCTGAGGACTGACTGCCCATATCCTATGGCAGGGCACAAGCCAAACCAGAAATCCAATCCCTTTGTCACCATCGCTACACAGAGCTGCCACTTTCTCAACACTGTGCCAGGGGAAGGAGATGGAGCTTGAGCATTACCTGCATTTGCCACGAAAGCAGGGCTCAGCCTGCTTCTATGCACTGTGATTTTTGGAGGTGGCCAGTCCAGGTAGGTCTGTAGCTCTCCATCTGCGCAAAGTGCTATGGAGGCTCTGGAGCACTAGGCTGGCATCGGAGCAGGGACTCGGGGGGCACAGGATGTCCATCTGTCCGCCACAAGCCACAGCCATAACCCGCTCAAAGCCGCAGATCAACCCACTCCACACTGCTCTACAAAACCACAGAGCTCTTTTTCCGAGAGCTTATGGCTAATCCTGTGCTAGAGCAGCTAGAACGAGAAGCTATCTGCCATGCTCAATTTAACATCATTTTGTGCAATACCATCTTTACCAATCAAAGTCTGTGCTGACCATCACAAGCCTTTCCACCTCTAGTAGTCCAGCTTCATCCATTCCGCTGAAGTCAAATGGTGCTTCTGACCTGGGAAGTGGTAGCAATTAATCCCTGGGTTCTCTAAATACTCAGAGATAGGACATATGCTCAATTCCTCCTAAAGCTGGCTGGTGCTCCATACCTGGAGCTGCAGTCCCCAGCTCTGATTGGGATGCAGACCTTGTAATCCATTTTCCTCCCTTCCTGCTGGCACTGCCTGTTGGTTTGGATGTTACAAGTGACTGTTTAATTTAGACAGCTTTCTTGGTGCTCATCTTTCTTGTGAACGCATTTCTCAAGCAGCTTGTTTCACTTGTCCCCCTGAATGCAACAAGGAGCACATTTTATGCCATGTGTTTTGTTAATAGGGAGCTTTTCAAACATTATGTGAAAACCTTTTTGTTGTGTTTGTTTTTTCCTCCTCTCCCTTTTGTGTTGAAGCAGGTTGTAGTTCTTGCTGTGCGGCTAGAGTCTATAAAATGCCCATGTCCAACACGTGTCTCTGGCTTGGTGAATGCCAAACAAGAATATCTCTGAGAACCTTAAATCCCAAGCAACATCTTCCCAGTGCTGATAAAGCCTGGAATGCACACAATCAGAGCTCCCACTGCAGAGAGAAAAACAAAAGGCTCCCATACAAACAACCTCACATACACAGACAGTCTATCACTATTGCCTCATACAATGGCTCAGCTGAGAAAAATTGCACTACGCCCAGGAAATGTACAGCTAAAGCCAAAAAGCCAACTGGAAACTAAATTCTTTCTGAAAAAGAGTGGTTCCAGATTTTGTTAGGCAACAAACAAGGATGGAATAAAATAAAAAGCACCAGTCCTTTAGAAAGGCATTTCCCACCTGTAACATGGTGAGTTTTCATGTTCTTCCCCGAGGATGTGCGCAGCCCCTCTGCCATGCTGAACTTCAGCATGACTCCCTGCTTCACAGCATCAGCACCGGAGGGAGGATGTCCTTCTCTGAGCAGCCATAAACCGGGACTGCTCACCCAGACAGACGGGGTGCTCTTTGGGCACCCTAAGCCTCAGCTTTCCTCCCATCCGAGCAAGCGGCTGCCAGGGCCTCTACATCCACACGCAGCTGGTAGAGGGGCAGTGCCTCAGGGATGCCTCCCAAGAACAGGGGAGTCGGACGTCCCTTCAACCCTCATGTCTTCCTAACAGGTCACTTTGTGTCCCAGCCCAGCTCATCTGGAAGGGATTTGTTCTCACACCGAGTGGCTGCATCCTTGTGGGACAAGCGGATTACCAGGAGGGCAGGGGAGTGCCAGGCTGAAATGTACCTCCAGCAGCTGCTTCAGGCTGGATGGTGCAGCAGAAGCCACACAGCCCTGTCTGTGCTGGCCTGGGGATGAAAACAGAGAGCCAAGGGCACCTCCTTTCCCATTTGGCTAAAAATACTTCCCAAACCTCGTTATTGGCAGCCTGGTGTCAGCAGGACATGGAAACGCTGACAGAGCTGATTTTTGCTCTGCTGTCTCTGGCAATCCTTGTTCTTTCCTGCCTCAAGGGGAGAGTGCATCTCATCATGACAGAAGGCTGTGGCTCTCCCCTATTTACAGGGCAGAGCCAACACACAGATCGGGGTCCAGGAGACAGCAGGCACTGCAGAAACACAGCCATGCCTTTGCTCCCACTTCTAACAGACGAGGATCAGGAAGTTCAAGGGATCCACTGAACTGCAGTGACTTGAAAGGGTCCATACCAACTTCAAGGAGCTGAGGATCAAATACTGGTGATGCTGTCAGGACCAGTTGCTATCAGAGGTGAAGTACAAGTGCTGGCTTCTTGCGACTGTACTTTGGAGTAGCACACTTGAAATGCGAGGTGACTTACTGCGGTCTCCTGCTGACAGGTTAGTGTCACGTCCTGGCAGGGTGCTGCAGGATGCTTGCATTAATGTTTGTGCACCACTCTGAAGCTGCCACGTAGGCAGCTGTTCATAAAGTATTTTATTAAATTACCTGGCTACCCAGAGGACAGGAAAGCAGGTGCGATCCGACGGCACCTTCCTCCTGCATTGGTGCCACGTCAGTGTGACCAATATAAACCTGGTACATGTTAAAATGGCAGGGAGGCTCACCCACCCACACTCCTCAGGCAAGTACCAAGGGAGCATCACAGGGGTACGGAGCTGCCACTGCTCATGACAGCAGGCACTGCAAAAACAGAGGGGAGTAAAAAGATGGACAGATAGAGACCAAATGCCACAGGGGAGCATGGGGGACACAGGATGAGCTACCTGCCTGGGGATAGCTGGAGGGAGGACGCATATTTGAATGCATCAAGCCTGACAAGGGAAAACATATTGCAATTCCCAAGCAGATGCCTGGGGGTCCTGTTGGCTGGGCCCTCGTGCCTGAGCACAAGGCATTGCCTTGTCTGACACTAAGCTCACTGTAAGAGAGCCGCTCGCATAGTAAAGTTTGGGCTCTAACCCTCTTGCTCCTGTGGAGTACCTGAATGTGCTTCTCTCTGCTCCATGCCCCCATCACCTTCTGCACAGCAGTAGAAAGCCTCCCTCCACTCCTTTCTTTTGTTCGGTCTGCAAACAATGCAACAAGCTCCACAGGGAAGCAGCACAAAGAACAAGAAAAAACGAGAATAAGAATAGTTCTGTCCCCAAGGCCCCTTTCCTACAATTACAGATCAGAAAATAAAAATCTCTGTTCTGTAGCACTGCTAGAAACAATCAAGTGAGGAAGCACATGTACACACACACAGATGTGTAGAAAGACTGCACACATCTGGAGAGTGCAAGCTAACAGCCACATGCTCAGGGCAGGCCACAAAGAAAGAAACCAGACGTGTAGCCTGAATGGGGAGGGTAGCCGCATAACAAGGTGAGCAGAAGTACTCTGCGAACATGTCCAACGGACAGCATCCACCAGTGCAAGTGGTGCAAGGCTCATATACATAGTTCCTGGCATGCTAAGGCTGATTTCATTCACGTTCACCCCAAAGACAACTTTCAGCATCCAACTTTGTGACACAATACTCTCTGCTAGCTGCCAGGCATCTGTAGATGGCAGCTTTCCATGCATAAATTCTTTTCTGAGCTTTCTAAACATCTCAATCTTCATTTCTATGAAGATCAGGAGATACTCCTCACCCCACCTTGAACCAGTGCATTCCCCACATCTGCACAGTGCCGCTTAGCACCCCAAGCAGACATGTGGGGACACCATCAAGTGGTATCAGTACTGTAAACAAGACCTCCCTGGCCATGTCCTCCTCCATCCCACATCCCCTTCCCTGCTGCGTCCCAGTTTATCGCTGCCTGGGACGAGCTCCCTAGAGAGCTCTCACATGCAAAGCCACTGCTGCTCATTTGAAGCGAGCGGCTGTGCACAAGGTGCCTGCAGCCCTGCTGTCACCTGGCACAAGAACACAAGTCTGATGGGGAGCGGCTGAGGGAGCTGGGGTTGTTTAGCCTGGTGAAGAGGAGGCTGAGGGGAGACCTGATCACTCTCTACGATGACCTGAAAGGAGGGTGTAGCCAGGTGGGGGTCGGTCTCTTCTCCCACGTAACAAGCGATAGATGAGAGGAAATGGCCTCAGGTTGCACCAGGAGAGGTTTAGATTGGATATTAGGGAGAATTTCTTCAACCAAAAGGGTTGTCAAGCATTGGAACAGGCTGCCCAGGGAAGTGGTTGTCGCCATCCCTGGAGGTGTTTAAAAGACGTGTAGATGTGGTATTTAGGGACATGGTGTAGTGGTGGGCTTGGCCGTGCTGGGTTTATGGTTGGACTCGATGATCTTAAAGGTCTTTCCCAACCTAAACAGTTCTATGATTCTATGTTTTCTGAACATCAGCTTTCCAACCCAACTGCTTGCAACTCAGGCCAGTTGGCGGAGCCAGAAGGCTGCTTTGTGCCTTAGGCAATAACAATTTAACAAGGTAACAATCTCTTTAGCCACAAATTAAATGGAAATGGGAAGTGTCCTGTGCAGATAAGCTGCTGCTTGGATTATGTCCCCTGCCCAAATATAAACTCCTCTGATCTTTGATCCCTGTGCACATATGCATGCACACACAGCCAAGCTGTGGCTCTGCACCTCCCAAGACTCACCTCATTGTCATCCTTCATCACTGCCCTCCTGTCATTTCTGGTCACTCATCTGGCCTGTGTCAGGCACCACTGCAGATGCCTCACTGTCCACAGCAAGGACATGCAAGCATCACCCAGCCACCTTCCTCGACACTCCCTTGCCACTCACAAACCCATCACTTGCCAGTGACGTTATCTGTCACCTGTGAGATGGCTGCTCTTGCTTGCCTGTTGCTTGTGCACAGGCTGCCGCTCACCTGCCAGCTGCCTGTCCCATAGGATACACTGACACACTTGGCCACGCATGCTTGTCACCTTCACCTGCACTGTCCCTCCTCCTCTGCTATCACCTCCCCTCTGCCCCAGCCATGTCCACAATCCCCCCCAGGCCACGTGTCCCCCTTGCAGGTGATCCCATGCCCACCGCTGGAAGGAAGGTGATGTAAGGTTTAGGCAGCTACTTTACCGGACAGGATGGTTCGCTGTGTCCGGGTCAAGGGCGGTGACCACCCCCACGACAGATCCAATGTGTGCGTCCTCCTGGACCTCCATCAGGTTGGAATGGGGCCGGAACTCGGGGGGCTCATCAACATCCAGCACCGAAACCCGCACGATGGTCTGGTCCCGGAAGGTGCCCAGGTCCACAAACCGTGGGTCCACAAACTTGTTGAGGGCCTCCACCACGACAGTATGCACTTTTTTTGACTCGTAGTCAAGAGGCTGGAACAACAGGAGAGGATTAGCCATACCCAGCCCAAGGAGTCCCCCTGCTGCCCCTTCCTTCGCTGGAGACGTGGTGGGCAGCGCTAAAGCCATCTGCTCCCCAGGCAGCGCCTCCACGGGAGGCTGGGAACTCGTGCTCTGCCCTCCTGCCAGCAGCACACGCACCGAGGGGGGCAGGAGGAAGAGGAAGCCTCCAGCCCGCTCCCCCCAGGGCGCCCAACAGGGCCCCCAGGCTGCGCAGGGCGCGGGCAGGCAGGATTCACTGCGAAGACAGACACCGTGTGCGGCAAGTGAGCGGGGTTTGATCATTAATCACCCTGCTATTATTTCTACAGGGGAGGCAAGCTGAACACAGCGGCCTCGGTGAACAATCATTCTTTCTTGCCTGCACCAAGCGTTTGCTTGATTGTTTTTGCCACGAAAAGCAGATACAGTCAAAGTGCTGTTGGTCAGGTACAGGAATTAGGCGGGCATATTTCTGCCCTAACAGGTGCTATCAACAGCAGCCGTAAGCACCGGTCTCTGCAGCCCGGTGCACAGCTCGCTTCTCCACCGGCACCCGGGGAGCCGCGCTGCGCAGGCCCCAGCTGCTGCTCCCTCCAGCCCTTCCTCCCAGACCAGGTCCGTGTTTCGCTGCCCAGGCAGAACAGAGGCAGATCTCTCCCTGCACCTGCAGGCACAAAACCTAGAGCAGCGCTCAGAGGAGTATTTATTTCAACTCAAATGCGGCAGCAGGAGTCCCCAAAGGAAAGGGCCGCCACAGAGACCCGTGCCCTTCCTACCCAACCAGCCTTCCTCATCTCTCACCTTCTGTACCGTGATGACAGCCTCTTGGGTATTGCTGTCCGTGGTGACTTTGAACATCTCCACCCCTTCCTCATCCTTCACCTGATACATCATGTCCGTGTTCTCCCCGACATCAGAATCCTCTGCCTTCACCCTCCCGATGGCAGTGCCCACAGGGGCAGTTTCAACAATGCTGAACTGGTACATCTCTGGAGGAGAAAAAGTACTAGGATCACTGCTTCTGCCTTTGAACGCCCTCCAGCCTGATATGGTCCCTTGCATACCTTCCTGGGGGCTCCCTCGGACTACGAGGGCTGTCCAAACTCCACCAGTGTCTATAGTCCCGAATGCCCTACCAGGAGAAACACATATTCCAGCCAGTAATAAGGGCTGAGGGAAGATAATTGGGGAGCGCTGCTGTTTCAAGCTGCTGGGTGAAGTGAGGGCCTATTTCTCTGTACGGACACTGCCCTGCAATCAGTGTTCTCCGATTCTTTGCAAACCTTGCCATTTCTAATTTCTAGGAGATGCAGCTAAAGAGCTGAGCCTCCTCCAGCTGCAGCACCTTTTCTGATCTGCCAGCCACGTGATGTTGGACTCCGCAGCTGATGTGCATGCGGAGACTGCACGGCCCACTCTTCGCAGTAGGATCACCCACCCTTCTTGTTTGGAGAGGGTCCCACGTTACACACAAGCATTAGCCACAGGCCACTATCAGTGACTTGGAGAACAGAGCTGTCCTGTAACTACTGTCTGTGAGCCGGGCAGTGCATGCCAAACTCTGACGCAGCAGCCAGGAGGGGCCAGGCCAGCATCCGAGTCCCTGCCCGAGCTCCTAGGAGACAGCAGTGTGACAGACCAGGCCGCCTTCTCCCCCAGCACTGCTCAGAGCGCGGTCAGGAAAGGAAGGGCCAGCTCTGCCCTCTCCACCACAGAACCGTGCTCATTCCCAGGACTATCACTGGGAGAAGGGGTCTTGTCCAGTGCCCTGGACACGCTCAGCCAAGGCAGCTGCCCCACCACCACACTGCCAGGCAGGGACGCATTCAGACCCAGACAAGGAGCTGTGCATGCTACAGTACCTTGGTGCTGCCACCTTGCAAGCAGCATAAAGCAGCCGGGCTGGCTCACCCTGCAGACATGTGCCAGGCTGTGCTGGGAGCTGAGCTTCTGTCCCACCACTCACAAAGGACCAGGACAAGGGCCAGTGCTCACTCCTGACTGCTGTCAAGACTTACTCTGAGGGAAGCGTGGTGGGTTGTCATTGACATCGGTGACCACGATGGTGACCGTGGTGGATCCAGACAGGCCACCCAGCTGTCCTGCCATGTCCGTTGCACGGATCACCACCTCATACCGGTCCTGCGTCTCACGGTCCAGGTCGGCCACGGCTGTCCGGATCACACCTGGAAACCAGCAGGACAGTGTGAGCGCAAGGGGGTCGCAGAGCATCTGCGGTCACAGACGGGGTGAGGCTGGAAGGGGCCGCTGGAGATTACCTCATCCAAGCCTCAGCTCTAAACAGGATCAGCTAGACCTCCCCACCTCTCCACATATGGCAGATGCTCCAATACTTCACCAACCTTCATGGCGCCTCCCTGGACTCACTCCAGCATGCCCATGAGTCTCTCATATTAGCACTTATGTCAGCTCACCAGGGCTTGAGTGGAAGGGATGGGTCCCCCGCCTCGACTGCTGGCGACGCCTTTCCTAAGGCAGCCCTAGGTGCTGTTAGCTGCCTTTGCCATAGGAGCACGTTGCTGGCAGCAACAAACATCTGCTGGGCCTCCGTGCAAATGGGAGCAAAACCCTTTTGCAGTCTTCACACAGATCACTTAAGCAAAAGCCTACCAAGAGGAGAAAAGGGCTCTGGAGAGAAGAGCAAGCCCAGGGGGTTGTCAGCCAGGCAGAAACATCCTGAAAATCCCCCCGGAGCCCAGCAATGGCCACAGGCCCAACCTGATCCCAGCAGGTGCATTGCACGAAAGATTCCTGACTGCTGCTTCTGCCATGGGCTGCCAGTAGCTCTGGCAGGGTTAAACTCCGGCTCAGAAGCGGTTTGTACTTCTCTCCAGGGAGGCCAGGAACCGGGTGAAGGATTGGTGGGGGCCAGAGGCACAGGAGCGAGAGGACTCGCCCAGATGCTGGGGCTGCACTGGGGCCAGCCTCAAGGTTTGCACAGACAGGCTGTGTAAAAGCCCAGGCTGAGTCACGAAACCCCTTTGGCACAAATCTGCAACAGCCCACTTATCCTTATCTGCTCAAGCAAGAGCCAAGCTTGCCGCAGCATTCCTAACAGAAGATTGGTGCTCTGAGCCCAAGCTCCATTTCACAGGTGCCTCGTGGCCCAAGCATGCCTGGAGGGTCGCCCTATTTGATTCGGAGAATCTGAGGCACAGTGTATTTCCAAAAGACTGTCTGCACAAAACCCCTCATTGTCCCTCTAAGTTAAGGAGACCAGAGATGTTCTGTGTCAGAGGCTGAGAATACACTAGAGACAGTAAAGCTTAACAAAATATATGGTATATTAGTACTTTCTATGAAATGAAGTCTCTTAAATAGAAGTGTTTATAGGTCTTCAGTAGTCATCTGGGCTTGGGGGAAATCACCAGGCCTACGTAAAGCAAGAAACAGAAGAGTAGTAAAACCCAGAAAACACTGTGAACGGCAGAAGTTACAACTTCCCGTGTCACCCAGGAGTGTTTCATTTACATGGAAACAAAGCAGAGAAGTAGTTTTTTGAGAATGAAAGACAGACATGACTCTGCCCTGAGGTGGCACCAGGGGCATGCATGAGTGCATACATGGATACAAGGTCATTAGCAGCAGTCCCGTTATACCAGCAACACTCCAGAACAGCTAAGAATCAGCTTAAAATCCCCTCCAGCTCAGTTTCTTAATATTCCCACAGATTTAGACATTGTTTTATGTTTTCGTAATTGCTCTCTCTTCCAGGGTTTTCTGTTTAACTATTAGCTTTACCTCCTCCTACTGTGAACCGCAAAATCCATCTTTGCTTTGTTTCACCAGTAATCCTGCCTGGTGTTAGGGAAGATGCCGGAGGGGGGTTGCCTGGCTGTGTGGTGCGGGTCTCCAGTGAGGGGGTCCGACCCAGCAGGAACAAGGACCTCCTCCCTCATCAAGTAAACAGCAGAGAATCATCCAGTTGCTCTCAGCAACTTGCAAGACTTGCTGACATGCAACAAAGCAAGCAATGACAGAGCATCACAGCCATCCAAGCCACCTGGCTCAAGGCAGACACTTCTGGGAAGCCTTCAGCACAACCTGAGCACAGTGGAGGGAAGAGCTGGGGGCCAGCAGACCGCAAGGAGACAAGATGTGCCTTCAGGGACATACCCCGAGGCTTCCAGGCATCAGCCCTCCAAAGCGCCAGCAGGCTGCCACAGTTTCCCTGTTCACGTGCCTGATGTGACCTTGTGCAGTTCCTGACAGAGGCTGTGGGTGGGTGGATGGCTCACACCAAGGAGCTACCAGTGCTGTGGCCCAAAGGCAGTCAGGAACGCCACTGAGCTGGGAAGACGAAATTACCCCCGGATCCTTTGCATGACATTACAAGGTGCAGCAGGAGCTGGCAACACTGTTCTGGAGACATTTCTCCTTGCTTTCTGAAACTAGCATTTATTCCAGCGATTATCATTGTTAGGATTTATTATAAAGATGTAGCCACCAATTCAGATCCTAGCAGTTCCCCAGCTCTCATGGATAGGTACAATTTCATCCAGCTTCCCTTGTCCCTCTGTCATTTCAGTTCTGTAATTATCTGGATTTCCACTGCCTTCAGCCCCATGAATCGAGAGGAGGCTCTGTCTCACCCACCATCTCTCGAGCACTCCCGGCCAGCATGCAGGTGAGATGCAGCACAGAGCACTGCAGAATTTCTGCTAGGGAGCACCCTAACCCCTCCACAGGAAGGCAGCAGGTGTTCACCCTGTGATGGAGCCCAGGGTCTGCACTGGCTCCCTTCTTCATCCTGAGTCTGTTCAGAGGAAGCGATTTGACCGGGAGTCCCACCCCACCTCATCCAAAGGGGCTGAGGGAGCACAGACAAGGGAGTGATGAATGCACTTCCATGCACACATCCCAGTGAGAACTGCAACTTCCCATCTGTGAGCAGACAGGACCAGCCTTGCACAAGTACCCAGGGCTGCACAGGACTGGCCTCAGCTGGTCGTGCTTACAGGCCTCTCGTGCCACTCCACTATGAATACAAAACCGTTATTTCTGGGCAAGCACCATCTCATTGAAATTTAAGCAATTCTGTTAATTAACAGGGTCTGAAGCATTTTATAATGAAAATTATTCATGTCAGCACAATAGTGATGAATTGGGATGAGAGGGAAAAAGCTCATGCATTCACTAAGGCTGTAATGACTTAACTGAGCTGCTTGTAATGATATAGCTCATAATAGACCATGCAAGATGGGAGGAAAGTGCTCAGGCACTTCCCAAAACACCTCCAAGGTCACCCGTCCCAGCAGGGAGCAAGTCCAGGCCATTTGACACATGCAGAGTAGGGCAAACAGCCCCAGCTGGCTCCAGTTCTTCTAGTGGCACGAGGCAGACAAAATCCTTGTCTTTGGTCAGGGTGCACACTGTGAGCGGAAACCACCTCCTGCCAAGATACTGTTTGTCCAGTCCATCTTGGAAAAGTGGATGTCTGATGCAGATGAACTGTCCCAGGCCCCAGGCCTCCAAGAGCCGCAGCAGAACCATCACCAAGAAAACTGTTCCCCCTAAAGTTGCATTGGCCACACCAGGCTACTACCCCAAGCATAAGGCTGGTCTTGTCTTGTAGGCTGAGGTACCACGTACCATTTGCTAGTGGCCTTGACAAATCAGGGTCTCCAAACACACTCCACACCAATTCCTTGAATATGGCACTGTGAGTGCTGCCCATAAACACCCACCAACAGCAAACTTGCGTGGTCACATCTCCTAGAGCCAGGACACCCTCTGCTCCCAAAACCTGACCCCCAGGGACTCTGTAAAAGCAGCAGCAAGTGGTGGTGGCAGATCTGTTCTCAGGGAGCAGAGACAGAAGAGGCAGGGAGCCCTGCTGCTGTACACAGAATGTGGAAAAGTCCTTGCTATCATCTCCCGAGATTCACCTTCTTTCCAGTCAGAAAAACTGCCAAACTTTGTCCTTCCCAGACACTGCAAGAACAACCTCCAGCTCAGACTCATCTCCCTAGTTCTTGTCAGCATCTGTTATAGTTGAATAATACAGATGCATGGTGGCATACCCTCTGGTATAAGGCACATGTGGCTTCCCAGCATGATCCAGATTAATCAGTATAATTACCAGGCAAGGGGACACTTACAGCATCACATAAATACCATCAAGTCTGCTCAAATAGCAGACGCTCTTTGGGTGATAAAAGCAAAGCAGGACAAAGCACTCAGCAGGTAACTGCCTTCCAGGAATCCCATCGTTATGGACTTTGCTCTGCTCTCGGAAAATTCCAGCTTGGATGTCCACATCCTTGGAGACCCTCTGGACAAGGCACCTTCCAGCTGATGGCAGTCAGGAGCAACATGCTCCCTGCCACAAAGTGCAAAGCCATAAAGTCAGAGTAACGTACACGGATGTATCCTCAAGAGGTCTCTGGTCCAACTACAGCTCAAAGCAGGTGGTCTTCAAAGGCAGATGAGATTACTCAGGGCCACATCCAGTCAGGTTTTGAGTGTCTCCAAGGATGGAAATGCCACCTTCATGGTGACAAGTTTTATCTTCCTGCCATTTGTGTCTTTTTACTGTGCATGCCTAAGAAAAGTCTCAGTCTATCTTCTCTATCCCCTCCTATTTAGCTGGGTAAAACAGATTCACTCCTCCCAGCAGCTTGATCAGTGAAAGTGAACAGATCTCTGCCTCAGTGCAAGGGTGGCAAGGCACCTGCCAAAAAGACTGCAGATTCCTCACCTGTGCCCACACCTGCCTGCAGGAATATAGAAATACCCATATATCTGCCAAGACACAAGTGCTGCTTGAGGCATACATCCTGGAGGAGGTCAGCCCACTGCAGAGGGGGTCTTAGCCCCAAGAACCAGCACTTCATCCGCCCTACACACACAGCCCCCCTTCCTGTCCTTCAGCTCAGGACAATTTGGGAGGCAGAAGCCACAGGTGGGTCTAAGCAAGGTACTAGGCACAAGGTTGAGGAGGTTCATGGCTCTTCAGCAAATAAGGTGCAGAGTTGAGATCCAGAAATGGAAACATTATGGTTGCATCAGCATAACCAAGCTCACCAGCAAAGTTAATTGGAAGGATGCAGAATCACACAACTATTGTGGCTGAGGGATACTGCAGCCTGTGGATTTCTAACGCGGTACCTTTCATAGCAGGTGGTCAAGTCCTTTTCAAACCAGTGTGCTCCATACCTCCTAGGGCAGCACCTGCAGAGACAGAGCTACTGCCACTGCTCAGAGAGGAGCACCAAGCAGGGGCTTGTTTCTGGCTGGAATCAGCCTTGCCCATGCCAGCGCAGAGCCAGCAGTGCCCTGGAAGGAGGTACCTGCAGTGAGCTCCATCAGATGGGTGAGCACAACTTACCCTTCCTTTGTCCCTTCTTCTAGCAGCCAAATCCCTCATCATTTCCTATTAATTCCCACTGCACATTAGTATATACACCCTAACTTCCTGAAGGCAACCAAACATACGATTTAGTCCGAAACCATCTGAAGTTCCTGCACCAGTCTCTGAAAAGGACTGTTAACATTCAGTCTTGCTAATAAGAGCAATCACCTTAAATAAGCATGGCTTCTCTGCAGACTCTCATCACCCATGCTTAGAGTACCATGTCCCTGTGCACAGCGCTGGTGAGTAAGCTTCCGGGATGGGGCAGACCCGCATAAACCCATGAGCACAAACACGCACATACCAGTATCTGTGTTTCCAGGCACCAAGGAGCACTTTTAACAAACTGGCAAGAGCAGCAGAGAAACATGTTCTGCCTCCCACCATCGCATCACACAAATCCAACAGTTCATCAGCTCAATTCAGCATGTAGCATGTTCCCAGCAACAATTCCTCACCCAGTCTACCTTACTATCCTGGGACTAGGGCTGTGGTCAGTCTCCAGACAGGGTGAGGCTGATAGGTAAGGATGAAATAACTAATGACCACACATGAATAACCATCAACTTCATCCCAGCAGTATAGTATTTCTTGTCCTGCTCTCCCTGGCACAAGTACCTCTAAGCACTCACTGGCTAAATCTCCAAATCAGGAAACAGGCTCTAGAACTCAGGAGTTGTTTTAAATAATCATAAATGCCAGACTGCATTTCAATTAGCCTTCTGAACCCTTCTGCCTTTTCCCTGCATACAGCAGAGTAACAAATTTTAAGAACAACCTTTCCCTTTCAGTAAAAAGCAAGATTCCCATGCACTCTCTGGAACTGACAAGCTGGGCTTTTAAGGAAAGCACCAAATATCATGAGGCCTACAACATTACCTGCTGTGACTGTTCTGTAGCAGTCAATATCCCTGCAGAGGGATGAACAAGGCTGCTGGAGCCCAGGGCACCAGGTTGTGCCTCCCTTCGGGGTGTTGAGTATTTTCAGGTTTCCTCCTGAGGCTGTGGGCAGGGATTGCAGGCAGCGGCGAGTCTCCAGCCATGCTGGCCAGAGATGAGAAGAGGCATTGCAAAGAACACAGGAACACACATGAGCAGGCAGGCACAGCTGCCCGCTGAAGAAGAGATTTGCCCCTATAAAGGTAAACAATCTGCAGAGGTACAGAGAGTGCAGGGTGATATAAAGCAACATGAAAATTTGGCTGGCAAGTTTAAATGCACACTGATGTCTCCTCTCACATAAACGCACTGGGAGTCACATACTCTCTGTGCCTATCTCGGCATCTGAAAAGCGTAAGTTAGAAGGATCTTGGTGAGGATGGGCTTCCTGGAGCTAGAACAGGAACTAGCACCGAACCCCGCGACCCACGTCCTGCCGGGCAGTGCTGGGGCTCACGGCCCCCGCAGTCACCAGCCTGTCTCCAGGCAGTCACCCTGCTGCAGGGTGAGAGCGGGGCTCCGCAGTCAGGGTGAGTGCTCTCACACAGAACCAACACCCACCACCGATGGCGGAAGGGGCTGTTACCCAACAGGAGCAGCAAAGCACACACATGTGCCGCCTGCTGTAAAATCACAGCCTCCTCCAGCAGGAACGGGGCAGCCATGAAACAGGGCAAGGCAGCTCACCTCTTACAAAGAGCAGACAAAGCTCAGCTGCACCCTACCTGCAAACTGAGAATGAATGAGGAAGGCAGCACAAAGCCTAAATATGAGTAATGCCTGCAGACTCTGGCAAGAAGCCTAGGGCCTATTCTCATATCTGGCACAGAAAATCATGCCTCCAAAGTTTGTGCATACAAAGCTCCCCACTCATACACCAAAAAAGCCAGTCTAGACATTCAACACATGCAGGGCAAGTTCCGAGACATGATTTGGGGTACACGACACAAACCTCCACACAGTTTCGGTGTCTGAAACTTAGTTCTCAAAGCACAAGAGGTAGTTGGCTGGTGTATATGAAAAAGAAAAGGTCATATGCATCAGCTGTGCTTTTTCTTCATCATCATTCAACACTGCAGAAACTGGAATCATTCTCCACAGCTTTGTAGACACCAGCAAACTCTATGATGCAGCTCCCACTATTCCAGTGGTGCCATTTAGTTGCTCATCTGCCTCCGATAGGATGTCTGAGACACTACGGGAATTCAGGGCTTATTGAGTGGTAGGACTTGGCACAGCGCGGCATCCAGACTGTTTGGGTCTGCCTTTGAAAGGTCCATCGAATCTGAAATCCCAGCTGAATACTACAGCTAGTAACAACGAAGAACAGGAGACAAACTAAGCAACCTACACACGGTCTATATTCTGTACTCAAGTGTGCAAACCACACTTGCATATGCAATACCTATGAAATGAAGGACAGCGCAAAAAGAGCTGGTTGTAAAGGCAAGGAAGGAAGAGAGAACCCATGCTGGAAGGAGTCACGGGCTTGGGCGGTGTGCAAGGGAGCACGTGCATGTATAGACCTTCAAGAACAGGTAGAGGAGGAGGTCAAAACCAAAAAGGGAAAACAAATTGTTCTTCATTATCATATATTACAAGAAATGTAACAGGCCCGGTTTTTATGGTTCTTTTTATGGCCATTAATAACAATGGTGGCTCTGAAAGTTACACTGCTGCTATGGATAATTAAATCTTATGCTCAGGGCAGAAGCCAGGCCACCCAGATCAGGATTCCCACATGGAGCACTAAAAACCCATTCAAGTGCAGAGTGGGAGCGGGATGGGATTTGCTTGGGCGGATGTGCTGGCTCCTGGCCAGTACCAAAGAGACACCATGAAACAATGTCCCCCCTGGACACTGCCAGTCCTGTACCTGCTGTCCCCAGCAGCGTGTCCACGTGGGCGAGCACAGACAGCGGGGCATGCAGCTTACGCCAGGCGTGAGGCCACAGGCGGGCCAGGCCCACGGGCGCGGCAGGACAACCTGCAGCCGCAACTTAAGCGGCCGACAGGCAGAGCTGCACACCACGTTCCTGGAGCCGAAGCAAGGCAGCTATGAAAAGCTATTCGCAGCTCAGACACCACCAGTCAGCCCCAGCACCTGCTTTAGCGGTCAGATATTCTGGAGAGGCGTGCTCGAGAGGGGCCAAGGACTCTTCTGCAGACTGTCAGCAGTTTTGCTTTTATGAATCACAAGCAAGTAGAACAGTAAATCAACCCCCCAGTGTATGAAACAGCCAGCTTGAGAATTAAGACACAAAAAGTCAAGAAATCAAGCAGCTTGGACTCCCAGAGTGACATTAATTCTCACCACAGTCCCACAGGGCACATTTTAGTTTATGCCTTAATACAGAGCATTAATGTTGTTGCAGGAAGCTGAGCCTCTGCACGTCCTGGCTTGTGCATTTTGTTCCCAGTGCTCCCTCTTCATTCTAGCAGCCAGGCTTCCAACAAAGCTGTCTCAGATTAACAGGATCTCACATGCACCTGAATTTTCAGTGTTTAGCTCATTATTCGTTCACCCATCTTGCCTTGCCCACCCCCACCCCGCCCCCCCAAACCCAAAGCAAATCTGGGCCATAAGAAAGCCCAGCTGCAGCAACTTCTGACCAGGAGTGGGTACAGCCCCAAGCTGCTGCTTGCGCACTCTCCCCACCGCACCAGCCTCTGTCCAGACAATGGCATTTCCCACTGCATACCCCAGCTCTGCTGTCAGGTGTGCTTAGGAGCTACGGAATTTGAGCTTTCCTCCAACGGCAGCCAGGGCTGGTGGCACAGACAGGGCTGCGACTGGCTTGGCCATGCGCACCAGACCGGTTTTCAGGAGGTGCATGGTTTCGTGCAGATGCAGAGCCTCAGGCACACATACGTTCCTTACACTCTCCTTATGCCAGACTCTCCAAGCAAATTTCACTCTGACTTGCATAAAAACAGCCTTAGAAAATATCTATTGGTACAGAGACAGGTCAGCCTGACAGACACTTGTCACTTCAGTCCAGGGGTTGATCTCAGCCTGTGTTACTGTGGTTCAGCAATAGAGTGGGGACTTTGCTGTCCAGCTTTCCAACGGGAGTTGTAGCTACCTAGCGTGCTTGTCCTTTGACAATTTTTCATTAAACTGTGGGTACTTTACTGCATGCTTTGTGCCTTAAATACCTCTTATTAGCATTTGAGTGTCTTCCCTCTTTAGAAAGCTTGCAAGGCTCCCATTAAGGGTAATGAGAGTCACACTCCTGGGAGGCAAGGAGAATATATACCCCAACATCTCCTGGTTATGGTCTACTCTAACCCGTATGTCAGAGCATCATCTGCCAGGGATTTATTACAGAGACATTTTACAACAGGTTCTATTATAAGTTATTAAGGAATGGAGCAGCTTCTACTGTTCTTTCATTAAATATTAATAGAACATTTATAAACCGATCCTTAATTTAAAGTGTTACCTTTAATCAAAGCTCTGGTGATAACAATGCAGCCTTTGGTGAGGCCCCTCTGGTAGTACTTAAACCTTTCACATGAGATTTTATGAGCCTGCGGGTGCACTCCTGCTCTGGGCACAGAGCACACGGAGGAGCTCTGGCCTGTGCAGGTGCAGGCAGGGCACTCTGGGCTGGAAGTCGCAGGTCTTGCTCCACGGTGCTGCCTGCTACAGGCACTGCACAGGGCCAGGCAGCAGCCTGCAGCGCTGTCAAGCTTCCTCTCCAACACCCAGTAATGCCCATGGCATGGATACCCCGGCACCAACGGCCAGCATGGATGTGCAGGCCTGCTGGCACACAGCTGTGCACTGAACAGATGCAGGACGTGCGGCCACAGTCTGGTCTGATGGCCCACACGGACTGCCCCAGCCCAGCTGGGTGCTGCTCACCTGTTTTACTGTCCACAGTAAAGTGCTGCTCGCCCTCCAGCACACTGTAGACTACTCGGGCACTGCTCCCGTATGTGGGGTCATCAGCATCAGATGCCATCACCTGCATCACAGAGGTGCCTGCAGCAGGGACAAGGAGGAAAACAAAAAGTCAGGGAGGAGGTGAGAAGAGCAACGCAAACCTCAGGGCCAGGGGCTAGCAGAATGGGAAAGCAGGGACCAACACTGATCACACACATGCTGATGGAAGCACAGACAGTTGGGTGCAAATGCAGCATTGCCTTCCCCCAAAAGCCTGAGAGCCAAGACTCCAGACACTGCTGCAAATGGCCCTTTTGTCCTGCAGAATGGCAAGAGGGACCGGACCTTGGGCTACCTTGGGGCTGCTGTCTAGGCAGGACCTGCTCTCCAGGTCACTGGTCTGAACAGCTGGGAGATTCTCTCCCAGCAGACTTCTGCCAGACCATCTGGGAAGGAGCTAGGGACAAGATGTTATCACCACAGCTGCCCCTTTCCTGTCAGCACCGAGCAACACAGTCACCTCCAGCCCGTAGAGGGACCTGCCAGCCAGGGCCTGATCCACACTGCAGCACCACATCTCTGCAGCAGACAGATCTGCAAAGGGACGACAGCCATAGGAGAGGAAAGGCTTTCACTTGCCCAGAGCCAGACACAGTACTATGTCCTCATGCTCTACACGTAGCAGGGGTAGGAGGACTATAAATTGGATAAAAGTCCATCAAATGTCTGCAATTAAGTTATTGATTTTCAACGCTGCCTCATTAAACTGGGTGCTTCACTCCAACTGTCCCTGTGATGGCTTTAATTTGACATCATGTTCAATTTGACAAAAGCAGGAACCAGGACATGAGAATGGGGCCAAGAGCAAAGAGGCCGAGATCTACACAGACAACAGAAAGGAGGTAGGAGGGGAAGCCTAATCCTACCTACAGACACCTCTGAGAAAGGAGATGGTGTGACCAAAGACCTATGAGGATTGGCTACCCAGTTCCACTTCTAGCACAAGACTCAGAGCATCCCTGCCCCAGAGGCCAAGCACTGGCACCTCTGGTAGGATGAGGTGCAGGATGGGGAGAAAAGCCCTGAGCTGCCCATAGGAAAGATCAAACCAACTGGGAAGCTCCCTGCTGCAAGATACTGCCATGGCCAAGAGCTAACAAGGCTGGCAGAGAAGCCAGTAATTTATAATGGACAAGAGCCCCCAGCAATGATTGCAGTTAAAAGGTAGGTTTTACTCCAGAGATGACTCCAGGGCACAAGACCAGCCCAAACTGAAGGGGACAGGAGAGGGCATTTCACAGCTCACACTGTTGCATCCAGCAGCTCTGCTCTGCCTCACACACCTCTTAGGGCTGCTGTGCCACCAGCTGATGACCCAAGGTACCACACTCTGGTCCAGAAACCCTTCTGTTCTGCTGTGCATTCATCCATACGCTGCAACGACAATCTCACAGGCTGGTCTTGGCCAGACCCATGTCATGAATAACCCAGAGCCAGGCTTACTAACAGTTGTCAGCATCTGAGTCTAGACCGATCACATTCCCAAACACCGGAGGTACACATAAAGTCAGAAGCAGCCTCTGTTCCCCCATCACAGCAGGCAGAAATGGAGCTGGAAGCATCCAAATGGAGCATGAGATGCTCCAGTCCCTGGTGCCTTCCTCCTCTCCTGTCAGGAGACCACAAGCCCACAGCCTGCATGCAAGCCAGGCAGCCAGAGTGCTCCTGCACCAGCCCAGCCTGGACTCGGGCAGGAGATGAGATAGCAATGCTGCGAGCCACTGGGATGCATGCGCTCCCCCTGGTCCAGTTCACTTCTGATCTGGAAAGGGTATACACTGAAGAAAACACACAGTTACCATGGCTGCTTTTCATTCTTCCCGGTCGTCTTCAGAGCTGCAGCTCTGTTGATAACATGAGAATCCTCCTCATCAGTCTTCAGCAACAAGCTAGTTTGAGTCAACTCATTTATGCTTTGCTCCCTCCCGTGAAGTTACGGTGCATCCCTGACAGGCACGTCCACATTCCACCACAGTAACAGTAGCTCCCTACCTTGTAAACAACTGTTTAAGACATACTACTGCTGCGTTTCCTTGAAAGGGTCTGTCCTGCCTCCTGCTCCCCCTGACTGCCATCACACAACTCTTTCACCAGGTATGAGCCAAGGCAAGTCACCCCCACACCAGCACTGCACATCCCTCGGGCACCCTGGCATGTTTTCTTGGGAAGCTTCTGATCAGAAAGCTGAGAAGGAAGGGATCAGAGAAGGGAAGGTACACAGCACCAGGGTCTCCAAGCACGCCTCTCCCAGCCACAGCAGAGAAGCCCTGCTAGGGATGCTGGAGGTGCCAAAGTCTGAGAATCACAAAAAGCGGCACCTGCCCCTGGCAACAGGTAGGACTCCTTTGGTGCCCATCCTGGCAGCAACCAGCTGAGAGTCCATGCCCAGCGTGTCCACAGCAGCACCCACTCCTGCACCTGCACCCATCACCAGCACCGGCAGAACCTGATGACCTTGCACAAACATCCCACACTCCAAGAACCACTTGCTCTTGCCTAGGCACTTCAGAGGCAAAGGGCTAGGAGATCCAAAACTCACCCACAAACACATGAGCCCATCAGAGTTATTTGCCTGCAGTTGCCCTGTATACCGTATAACCTGCATCAGGACCGCATGTATGCGGACAGAGCAGGTGCCCCAAGGGCTATGCCACAACCCTCTATCCCAGCCCTGTCAGTGCTGTCACCCCACAGGCGCCAGCCCAGTGATCGTTAAAGAGGAGGGCTAGGCACTAAAAGGCTCTGCATCTCATGCTACTTCTCCCCAGATGCATTCACTCAATTGCATAATACACCTACTAATCCACACCTATCAAACAGCTATACTCTCTGTGTTCCAGTATTTACCTGAACATTGCAAAACTGCACCACTGCCAGAGTCCAACGGGAAGGCAGGATCCATGCCCACCCAGAAGTGGGTTTTGTTTCTCTAATTTAAGCCATGCCCTGGACAAGCCAGGTAGATTGCTGCTCTCAGTTTTCTGGTGCCAGCACAGAAGGCTCCTGGCCCACAGGGCTGCCTCCGGCTGCTGGGTGCTCCCAAGCACTGGAGCAACAGGACTGCGGGGCACCAGATCCAGGCTGCCAGGAGCCAGGCGTGAGCCCCATTTTGGGACTAGTGCTTTCCACTGAAAACAAGCAGCATGAGGAGCACTGCAGCAAGGCACCTTCAGCTCAGAGGCAGCAGGATCATGGCATACTGCCCTTAGGCTGAAGCCAGCAACCCTGAAGGTGATGAAGACTCTGCTCTTCCCCATCTGCTCTCATGGCATCTCCTTAACAGATGAGCAACAACAGGCAAGTATGGAACATTAAACCCCACTTCATGCCTTGACTTCTAGTCTGCACAGATGCAATACAGCCTGCTCAAGGTCACCTATAGGATATCGGGAATCTAGGACCCCAGCTCTCCAGCATCCTCTCTTAACCCCCATTTATCCTTTTTCCACCCCTCCCTCTCCCTGTCTTTCAATGTGAAGAACAAATGTCTTGACTTCCACTTTAAGCTGATCCCCTCCTTCCTGCAAAGACAAGCCTAGGAACACTGGCTCCCACCCCTGCTTTGGTATTAGTCCCTGCTCTCCAAGCATAGCACTGCCTACAGCAAGTACAGCATGCACGAGTTTTATTTAGTTTTCTGGCATATGCCTTAGCCATAAAAGATACAATAAACAAAATCTAAACGTCCATCATGTACTGTATAATCCACCTCCCATGATCAGGAAACCTGAACTCGTATCCAGAGAGATAATTAGACATGTAAAACGAGATAAAGACTTCAGTTCCTCCTCTGGCCAGCTCACCCCACAGAACCAGAGGAAGCCAACAATTTTACATAAAAATTAATGAGTCAGAGTCCATCTCTTACTCTCCTGCTGCAAAGGTGTGATCTGGCAGAGCAGATCAAACAAACTGCGTTTCCCTCCAGAGGAAACGAGGGACAAGACCCTCGCTCCCAGAGCAATCCTCCCCCAGAGCCCACGCTGGGGCCGCAGAGCGCCCAGCTGACCCCGCGCCCACAGGCTGGGTGCAGGAGGGGACGCAGACCCTGGCTGCCAGCCATCCTCTGGCTCCACGAGCCCTGCCTGGGCTGTCCCCATTCCGCACCCTGAGCCATCCTGGAGACCCGCCAGGGACGTCAGCCAGCCCTTGACTCCACAGGCCAGGGAGATTAATCCCTTCTTTGCTGCGCCCAGCAGGGAGCCGGGATCAGCAGCGCAGAGAGGGGCTGCCAGCACCCCACACCGAAAGGCACCTGGCGATGCCCCGGGGAGCCGGCGGGATCAAGGAGCCGTTTCTCCACAAGGCCCTCTCCTGCTGCAGCCATGAGTGCAGAGATCACAGCCCCGCTCAGCTGCCTCGCCACAGCGTGCTGCCACGCAAAGCTGTCCTCAAAGCTGGCAACGGCAGCTCAGCCCCAAGTGCCTTGGCTTGGTTGGACAGGGCTCTGCAAAGCACCTTTGAAATACTAATGCAGACCTGCCCTAGCATCCACCACCACCTTCCCCGCAAGACCCAGAGCCTCTGGGGCCAGTTTCAGCGATCCTGGGAGGTGCCATCCACCTGTGCACAGAAGGCTAATGGCTCCAGACCACTTACTGTGCCACTTGCTCCAAACACGTTAAAAGAAATGCCGACAGGCAAACGCCAAACACGTCCAAGGGTAAAGAGGCCCTGCACTGAATCCACAAGCAAGCCGACGGCACCTGTCACTTCCCCAGGGACAAGAGTACAGCCAGGCTCCAGGCCTGTAAAGAGGCAAACAGGTAGCAGGAAAAGCCAACACTTGCTAAATTTGACCGCCCCTCCTCATGGCAGCCTTCACCCCTTCCCTGGTGGAGTTAGGAGCCTCCAGCCACTCTCCAGACCAGCTCTGGGGCTGCAGCCTGCACCTCCAGCTCAGACTGAGCCCAAAGGACAACCCTCTACCCGTGCTTAGAGCATCCTTCTGTGCAGATCCAGCTAGCTCCAGGACAGCACATGGTCATTTCACCGCTGCAGAACACAAAGGACCCCGAGAGGAGTGCTTTGTCATGCAA